TAGTCCTCAACATGTGCGGTGAGGTAGGACTTTTCCAATTCTGAGCCTGGAAATAGAAACCAATTTGGGTACCTGTTCTGACCTCACGTTCTGACCAACAGGGAAGTGGGGTGGCTGAGAGGCATGGGGGTACGTAAATTTGGGCGTGGATGCCACTGCGCACACAAAGTGCCATTTGGACTGCGCTTGACTCCTGAATTCTACAAGTACTTTTATCACACTTGGTCGTCCACTGGTTGTCATGGCCGACCAGAGTAGGTGAATTTTAGGACTGACCTTTTCCAACCCATCTTTAGGGGAAAAGGCCGCATCGCTTCTCTCATAAACAAGGAAGTGCTGGTTGTTAGTGTAGGCAACTCACTGTTGCTGCACTCCTATTGCAGTGAAGGAACCACACCGTAATATGGATTCTCCTAGCATGGTGGCTCGCCACTCTTCGTCGGACTCCTCCCCTTTGGCCTTTCTGACTGAAATTTAGTGGAGCAGTTCCAAGTCAACATAGACTGCAGGATGGTTACTGCACTGAATCCTGACTGTTATGACAAGGTGTCGTCCTCAAGAATATATATATATATATATATATATATTCTTGAGGACGACACCTTGTCATAACAGTCAGGATTCAGTGCAGTAACCATCCTGCAGTCTATGTTGACTTGGAACTGCTCCACTAAATTTCAGTCAGAAAGGCCAAAGGGGAGGAGTCCGACGAAGAGTGGCGAGCCACCATGCTAGGAGAATCCATATTACGGTGTGGTTCCTTCACTGCAATAGGAGTGCAGCAACAGTGAGTTGCCTACACTAACAACCAGCACTTCCTTGTTTATGAGAGAAGCGATGCGGCCTTTTCCCCTAAAGATGGGTTGGAAAAGGTCAGTCCTAAAATTCACCTACTCTGGTCGGCCATGACAACCAGTGGACGACCAAGTGTGATAAAAGTACTTGTAGAATTCAGGAGTCAAGCGCAGTCCAAATGGCACTTTGTGTGCGCAGTGGCATCCACGCCCAAATTTACGTACCCCCATGCCTCTCAGCCACCCCACTTCCCTGTTGGTCAGAACGTGAGGTCAGAACAGGTACCCAAATTGGTTTCTATTTCCAGGCTCAGAATTGGAAAAGTCCTACCTCACCGCACATGTTGAGGACTA